TTCACTTTACAGGGTCAGCACGTATGTACTTCGCATGAATATTTTAAACAAGGATTTTTTTTAACTTTTGATCATTGGTAAAAATGAAAATGATATATTATCTATCCTTTTCAACTAACTTCTTATACCGTTCATCTATTTCTCTGTATAACAACGTTTATACGGCTCAGTTATGCTGGATTCACACTGCGTGCGATTTGCGTCGTACGTTGCTCTGCAATCAATCAGAAAGCAGAATTCCGATGATACGAAGCAAAATTCATCGGAATCCTGTTTTCTGATTAGTTGCAGAACGTCGTACGACGCACTTTGGATGCAGTGTGAATCCAGTATTATTCCGAAGTTATACATTGATACATGAAACTGGCCAATCACAGTCATTCCATTCTTCAGAGTAATAGCTATGATTGGTCAGTTTCATGACATCGATGTTATAACTTCGGCGTAAATCGAGTCGTGTAAACGTAGTTTATGTTTGTTCAGCATCAGATAAGAACATGTACAAGTACTGTTAAATCTGACAATAGTTTGTTCTTTATCGATAAATTCTCAGAATTATTGCACACAATGCAATAAGTTCAGAAAGTTCATCGTAACAGATCTATTGTTTCTTTCCGAACGCACTCAGATCAGCGGGGCCTTGTCTGAGTACAACGCCATCTCCCAGAAAATCGAGCAACTTCTATTATACATACATTTCCTGGTCTGTTTATCAGCCCGAGTCTTCGTTGACAAGCAAATTTACGTGATTTATAAATTAATGTAAATATTTTTTCTAAGCTTTCAATCTCAGTTCTGTAAACTCAGTATTGTTTGTGCACGTTATGCGGTGAGTGGTAGAGTATCGTTTGGTCCATACGAGCTATAAAACTTTTGTAATCTATATCAGTTGACAGCTCTACGTGTTGAAAAAATGTAAGTTTTAACTTTTTTTCCGATTTTAGTACTAATCTATTGCACCACGACAGAATTTTGTCTATTTTAACCCTGTAAAAGGATTTTTGATTTCGTTAAGTAAATTCGGAGATGTAAATTGATCTGCAAAATACCGACAATTTGGCCACTCCAGCAATTAGCCACTCCAGCATCCGACAATTTAGCCACTCCAGCATCCCCTTAAGGCAGGGAACGTAAATAGCGAGGAAAGCGAATATTAACTGACGCTGAGATTTTATTTGTATTTGCAGCTTAAATATAATGTCAATGTAATAAATAGATAAATAGAATCCGACACTGTGGTCGGGTGCATTGGTGCACATGCCGTGAGTCGTCGGAAAAAGGCAACCATTGCCTCTCGATACAAAGGAGAGAAAAATAACCGAAGCTTTCTTGTTGAAATTATAACGTCGAGTTAACAACTTCTCGAAAGTTCGAAAAACAAAAACAGCGGTTCTCCGAGGAAGGAGATTAAGAGAGAGGAATAAGCGACTCCTCCGTTAGCTAGCAAAGAGACAAGACGTATAATTCCGCGGACTTAGAATAAAGGCGTATTACTTGAGATAAATTTGGAGTGAGTTAAGTTTCTCGGCCTTCATTCCTGATTATCACCTTCCTAATAGCGCGATAAGAAAACAGCTAAAGTGGCGACACCGACGTGCCGGGAACAATAATTTCGGTAATTCGTTTTGCGCGTATCGTGACGAATTCATCGAGATGTCCGGTCGAAAGTGAAGGTGAATAAGTCGGTGGCGAAGATGCAGGAGACGATGATCGTGACGCACGAGGAAAATTCATCAGCCTCGTCACCGAACGGAACAACAGCGAAATTTAGACGAACAGCGAAGACAGCTGGAAATGGAGAGACAGGCGTTCGAGCGATAGCGGATGCAGCTGGCGGATTCGCGTGCAGCGGCGAGACGACCGATAGGCGACGAGCCGGGTTTCGTGACGCTGGGCGCAGAGGTGAGCCGAGTAGGCATAAGAATGCCAGAATTTACATCCGCGGATCCGGAATTGTGGTTCAAAATAGTCGATCGAAGTTTTCAGGCCGCGGGGATCACTGTCGATGCGACAAAATTCGGATATGCGTTAACGGCGATTGGTCCGCGATATACCGCCGAAGTGCGCGATATTATAATGAGTCCCCCCGCGGAGCGCGCGTACGAGACGTTAAAAGCGGAGTTGATAAAACGACTCAGCCTCTCGCAGGAGCATAAGACTCGGAGACTCCTGGAGCACGAGGAGATCGGAGACCGGAAGCCCTCACAGTTCTTGAGGCATCTCCGAGGGCTTGCCGGAAACGTCGTTGATGGAGTGTTTACGGTGTGGCTGTCGCGTTTACCCGCGTACATCCAGCCGCATCTGGTGACGCGTGCCGAGGATACCGTCGAGCAGCTGTCGAAGATGGCGGATGCAATAATTGAGGCTACCCGTGCGCCGGCGTTCCGAGTCGCGGAGGCGACGCAGCTCCCGGTGCCGCGGGTCGAAAACCGGGATACTATTACTACAATCGAGGCAAGAGTCAATTTACAAATCGCACAGTTGCGCTTGACTCTGCAGCAAGAGATGGCTGAGCAGATGACGGCTATGCGGAGATCCATCGAGGCGCTTCGGGGCGCAGAGAGAGACGACGAACGTCGCGACGGCGGGGGCCGTTTTCGCGGTAGCGGAGATCGCTTTCGCGGAGGTCGACGGGCGCGGTCGCGGTCGCATTCGCAGAACCGTGGGCTCGCGGTTGGTGGCCCGTGCTACTTCCATTGGCGGTTCGACGAGGAGGGGACACGATGCGAGCCTCTCTGTTCCCAACAGCAACAGGAAAACGCGGTGGCCCATCGTTGATGACGGCGACCGAGTCAGGCCATCCGATACGTCGTCTTTTCGTGACAGACATTGAGACAAAAATAAATTTTTTAGTTGACACGGGCGCAGATTTGTGTGTGTATCCGCGGAACATGGTTCGCAGACCGCGAAAAAGATCGGCCTACGAGTTGTCCGCGGCGAACGAAACAATAATTCATAACACGTATGGAACAGAGACGATGGAGTTGAATCTCGGTTTGCGACGATCATTCGTGTGGCGATTTGTGATCGCATATGTGACGAAGCCCATTTTAGGGGCAGATTTTCTCGCGCATTACGGGCTCTTGGTGGATCTGAGGAACGGCCGACTCGTCGATTAAATAACGAACCTTAAGACGCGCGGGCGTTGCGTGCGGTGTGATGTGCCGAGTGTCAAAACGGTCGCAGGTGCAACGCCATACCACGAACTGTTGGCGCGATATCCGGAGATTACGAGGCCAGAGGGCCGTCCCGGAAAAGTAAAGCACGAGACGCGTCATCATATTAAGACGACACCAGGACCGTCGGTGGTGTGTCGACCGCGAAGACTCGCGCCGGGGCGTTTGGCGGCCGCGAAGAAGGAATTCGAGAGGATGGTGGAACTGGGAATTGCGAGACCGTCGAGGAGCAATTGGTCGTCACCCTTACACATGGTTCCCAAGAAGGGCGAAGAGTGGAGACCGTGCGGCGACTACAGAGCACTTAACGCGTGGACGGTTCCGGACTGTTATCCAGTGCGCCATATCCAAGACTTCGCGCAGTCTCTTCGAGGAAGGAAGATTTTCACCGTCATCGACCTAGTTCGGGCATATCACTAGATTCCGGTTGCGGAAGATGATATCTCGAAAACGGCGATTACGACGCCGTTTGGAATATTTGAGTTTCCGGCAATGTCTTTCGGCTTACGGAACGCCGCGCAGACATTCCAGAGATTTATAGACGAAGTTCTTCGCGGATTCGATTTTTGTTACGCCTATATAGACGATATTCTCGTTGCGTCGTCTTCAGTTGAGGAGCACCTCGAACATTTACAATTATTGTTCGAGAGATTGCGAACATACGGAGTGATTATTAATCCGGGTAAGTGCGTGTTCGGGCGGTCGGAGTTCCTCGGGTATTTGGTGACCGGCGAGGGAACGCGACCGTTGCCTGCGCGCGTGAAGGCAATACGGGAATACCGGAAACCGGAGACAGTGAAGGATCTTCGGCGGTATCTCGGCATGCTAAATTTTTACAGAAGATTTCTGCCGAGAGCCGCCGAGACGTTGGCACCATTAAACGATCTTCTACAGAATAAGGTAAAAGGAAAAATGCCAATAGCATGGACACCGCTGGCGGAGCGGGCGGTTGAAGCGTCAAGAGAAAGCCTGGCGCAGGCTGCGCTTCTGGCACATCCGAAGAGCGACGCAGAAGTAGCGCTGTTTGCGGACGCATCCGACCATAGCATCCGAGCCTCGTTGCAGCAGAAAAGTGGCAACTAGTGGGAGCCATTAGCTTTTTACTCGAAGAAGTTAAGTCCTACCGAGGCGAGATATAGTGCATTTGACCGGGAACTTTTGGCTATATACCTCGCCGTCAAGTACTTTCGACATATGGTAGAGGCAAGAAAGCTTATTATTTATACGGACCACAAGCCGCTCACCTTCGCGTTCCGCCAGAAACCAGAGAAAAGTACACCGCGGCAATTCAGACACCTGGATTTCGTCGGGCAATTCACGACGGACATTCGACATGTATCTGGCGGAGAAAATGTGGTAGCAGACGCATTATCCAGAGTGGAAGAGCTCCAGTCTCCAATGGACTATGTGGCGTTGGCGGCGGCGCAGCAGAATGACGAAGAAGTAAAGAAATATATACAGTGAGAGTTCGGATTGCAGCTGAGGAAGGTCGAGATTCCGGGAACAGGAATGGAGATATATTGTGACACGGCAAAAGCAACGTCACGACCATTCTTGACAGAGCCTTTTCGACGAGCTGCCTTTAATATGATACATAACTTGGCGCATCCGGGAGTTAGAGCGGTCAGGCTCGTGGCCGAGCGTTACGTCTGGCCGTCGATGAGCGCGGATCGTCGCGGCTGGGCTCGCGCGTGTTTGCAGTGCCAGCGGGCAAAGGTGACTCGCCACGTGTCGGTGCCGAGAGGTGAGTTCGCCGCGCCGTCCGGAAAGTTCGAACATGTGCATGTCGACATTATAATAATGCCAATCTCGGAAGGGAAGCGATATTGCCTGACATGTGTCGATCGGTTTTCGCTATGGCCGGAGGCGTTCCCGATAGAGGACCAGGAAGCGGAGACAGTGGCGAGGGCGTTCTACGACGGATGGATCGTGAGGTTCGGAGTGCTTCTGCGAGTCACGACGGACCGCGGTAGACAATTTGAGTCCCATCTGTTTCGCCGTTTGAACGAGCTGACCGGGACGATGCATTTAAGGACGACAGCATACCATCCGCAGGCCAACGGAATGGTCGAGCGTTTCCATCGACAGCTCAAGGCCGCAATTAGAAGCCACGGGAACAACCGATGGACAGAGGTGCTGCCAACCGTCTTATTCGGAGTCCGAGCGGCTTGGAAGGACGATTTGCGGGCGACGGCGGCGGAGATGATTTATGGAGAGACATTAAGACTTCCTGGACAGTTCCTGGACCGGTGGGCGTCGGGCGATGTGAGTGAGGCCGCCGACTTCGTCAAGGAGTTGCGTCGCCATTTTGACGACCTGCGCCCGGTGAAGGGATCGCATCACGGAGAGTAGAGGCCGTTCGTATTTAAAGATCTGGCTACGACGGACTGGGTGTTTGTACGTCATGATGGGCCTAAGACAATATTGCAGTTATCATACGACGGCCCATACTCGATAATCAGCCGTACCGAAAAGTTTTTTGTCGTGCGAATAAAAGGGAAAGATGCGACAATTTCAATAGATCGACTAAAACCTGCATATACTTTTTCAGAGAACATAGGGAACAACAGCCCGGTCGAGAAGCGAGGCACGGACGGAGCAACGGCTGACAACAACAACACGGGGGACGTCGATCCGAGACGGTCCGCGGACGCGCCGGGTCTCGGAGAACGGACCGGAGTGGCGACGAGATCGGGCAGGAGAGTCCGTTTCCCGGATCGTCTGCAAGTTGGAAGAACATAAAATATTATGAATATATGAATATTGTTAGCAATAGTAATGCCTAAATGTTTTAAAAGAAAAAAAAAGAAAAATTAGCGTATAGCACGAGATGATAAAAGCCAACGGCGGATGAGACATCACTGATAATTTTTTTTCTTTCATCGCTTTATGTTCTTATTGAGGTCAGTGTTTGTTATATTCTATTTTATATTTATTTTGTAATGCTTAATTTTACATGTGATGTACATTGCGTAGAACCCGTGGGTTGGGCTACCTATCGGGCGCGTCTCCAGGTGGCGGATAGGAGGACGCCCGGAGGGGTGCCCGGTCTCCCGGGTGTAAAACCCCGTGTGTGACTGGAGGTACCTCCGGGTAGTGACGGTTATAAACGGACCTCCAGGTGTAAAGCCCTGCGTGGGTTCGGGAAGACCGTTGCCGTGGACCAGCCCCCCAAGCCAAGCTGGAAGCCATTGAGGTGAAGGCTGCGTGGCACTGGGGGAGCAGTGTCGTGATCGATGCCTCTGGGGCACCGGGCGAAACCCCAGAGTATCTAGCCTTACCCACGCATGCGGGGCTCTGCGTGGGTGGACATAGTCGTTCCCTAGCTACTCGTGGAACTTGCATGGAGGAATTTAAAAATCTAAACATACAAGAATTAACCGAGGGCTCGAAAGGGCACTCGGCGGAAACTGCTGCGATCGCGCCGCAAGTACAGGCCTGCAAGGGCTTGGAAAGCGAGGTGGTCG